AAAATCTAAATTGCGTAAATATTGCGCATTTACCATAAATTCCTTTAAAATTCTGAGCAGTAAACAAACAGCAAATATATTTTATGTATGGTATATTTTGTCATTTCAAAAAGTAAAAAAATAACTAAAAATAACTAAAATGATATTTAAATTATACAGTGCTCAGCATAATTGAGTACACCCAATTTTGAAAATGAATACTCATTTCTCAGGGAATATAGGCAATGTATTTTGGTGCATTTAAACAAAACAGATTTATTAAACAGATATAACTATCAAAGTAATATTTTAGTCACCAAACATATTTACAAATTGAAGGATAATGAAATTATATTCAAGACAACCTACAAAATTTAAACTACATTTTTCTTTTTTGCTTCTCTTGATTTTTACTTTTTTTCAAAATTTTATTTGTATTTAATGTTTTACTGCAACCTAAATTTGGGTGTACTAGTTTGAAAGACCCAACCCTCACTGACAAGGGGCTAGAATTTGTCCCATACATGAGCTTATTTGTCCTTTATTGACTGCTGTGCCATTCTAAATTATGAAAATAACTCATCGAAAAAGGTTGTTGTGACTTCAGCTAATCCGTTTGGCCAATGAAAACAATATTTTTTCATGATTTCAACATCCAGCTGAGCAAGAAAACGCACAATCTGATGTAAGTGAAGTCATCTTTCACTATAGTATTGTTTTTAAAAAGAGAAAACATTTTACAAGTGACTTTTATTCTAAATCTTGGACCTTATTCTTGAAACAAAAAGTGATCAATAAAAAAAAAAGCCAAAAGTGGCCCAATATCATAAGTAATTTGAATACTACTTTGGCTATTGTTGTTGTTATCCATAATTTTTCAAATGTATTTTTATACAAAAGAGGTCACAAAAATCGTGAAGCTTTACATTATTATTTTTTAATATAATTTTTAGTTTGTTTTAATTTTTATTCAAATGGCCAAATTCTGAATTGAATGTGCCGGCCAGTTTGTTGTTTGCACAATTAATGACAATAGGTTACAGTTTTTAATTTACAACTTTAACAGATTCCTATTTTTTACTTATGATATATGATATTTTTTAAATGCAATTTTATTACAAGCATTTATTCATATATCTTTATTTTAAATCATTAGGAAATATTATTGGTACTTAAATAAGCGTGTGTTATGATGACCACCCGATAAGCTAATCTAGCTAAAAATAGAGTTTAAAATGTCACTAAAATGCACTACTTAAATCTCATTATTATATAGAAAATGAGGCAAATAACTAAAAAAAAGTTCTCCTTTTTGAGAAAAAAAAGAACCAGCCTATTCACCAGGCTGGCTACTGGCTTGAATATAATAATAAATGAAAAAAATAGAGCAAAGTATACTACACTGATTAACTAAAATCAAATTTCACAGCAAAAAACCCTAAAGCGACAAGCAGTGAATTGGTCTATTTCCAGTGTGTGAATAATACATTGACTTTCAGGAAGGTCAACTTTTTTGGTAATAGTTTGGTTATACATGCTTTAGTGAAACAAAATTATGAATACTTAAATTACATCTACTTTATCAATAAAATGTATACATTTTCAGCGTTTTGAGGGATATTCAGTGACTATTTTAGATGTTACTGTAGGTCAAACTATACAAATTATGTGTCTAATTTTCCTTTTTTAGGCTACATGCAGATACAAATACCTATTTTACAAGGAACATGTTTTGTGAATACTTAAGATGTCTATCGGTGCTCTCGAACTGCCAGCTTCATGCATTCATAATAGTATAAACCACTATAGGGTGGGTCAAATTTTTATTTATATTATACACTTTTAATTTTTAATATTTAACATATACAGTAGATCAGAGAAAGCTATTTCTTACTATTAAAGGGCTGACACCTATACATTTTGTTTTAATGTCCTTTAGGGGGGGGATCAAGCATTAATTAGGGGGATCAATCCACCCCCAACCCCCCTGTAATTCGCACCCTGTGTATTCCTACTCACCCTGTCTGTCTTCAACACAAAGTACAAGAGCACCAGAGGTAAAGCTCCAAAAGCCACGCCAATCAGTGATGATTTAGTAGATGGTCTGAAATGCGGGTACACGATATTACGTGCATGCAGCCACCTGGTAAGGGCAGGGTCTTCCTACAAATAACAACGAGCAAGTTTATCAAAGCTATCAAGTTACCTTCCAGATCAGTATTTTAAGGTGACACATTTAAACCAATACATTTATCCATAATGCAGAATGTATATAAATATAGTAAACATGCTCAATCCAAAATGTAAACTTCACATTAGCGACGTATGTGGATCAAAACAAACTGCTAAAGTATAGTTGCTAGCCTCCAGCAGTGAAGGTCACTCAGTGAGGGCTCATTTTAACGCAATATAAGCCTCGAAGACATAAATGTAGACACATAAATATCTATTACAGCATGGCAAAACTATACCTTTACTATAATATAACGGCGATATATACTTAGCATCATAGTAACTGTTGTAATTTTTAAGCTAATGTTCGCTTGGTCTTACAATCAGCTCTTTGCGGTAGGGGTTGTTGAGCTGCATCTGGTACTGTCTCTTCATCTGAGACCGCAGAGCCGTCCGCTCCTCCTCCGCCCGCCGGTACTCGGGGGAAAGATTGTAATACTCGTCCGGGTCTAATGTTTTTGGAAGTGTGGCCAAAGGAGCCGGTTTATATTCTCTTAGCCTCGACATGTTTGCTAACGGGGACACTCACACGGCCCCGACAACAAGGAGGAATCTGATTGGCTGCGCGTCACGTTCATGAGTCTCGCGGTATTTGAGAAAATCTCGTTAAAGTGGTTTGCAGTTTTATTATAATAGACGATCTTAGACAACTTGAATATTATTGAACCTATCTCAGTTTAGCTAGGTGCGACATTTCAAAGGTTATATTTTACTTAAAATGCTTATTTTATTTATAGCGACAAGGTCACTCAGGGGTCAAGATTCACAGCAAGAAGGTCGCTGTTTCGAGTCCCGGCTGGGTCAGTTGGCATTTCTGTGTGGAGTTTGCATTTTCCCCCTGTGAGTTTCTTCCAGGCGCTCAGGTTTCAGTCCCAAGACATGCGCTACAGGTGAATTCATTTACTCAATCGTTTTCTTTTCGACTTAGTCCCTTTTATTAAAAGTAGTGTATGTGTGTGAATGAGTGTGTATGGATGTTTCCCGGTATTTTATTGCAGCTGGAATGACATCCGCTGTTTATTTTATACTGGAATAGTTGGTAGTTCATTCCGTTGTGGTGACCCCTGATGAATAATGGTACTAAGCCGAATGACATTTTTATTTGTAATACATTTTTGAGCAGGGTCAAAAGATTAATTCATTCATATTAATTTAGATTTTGGAGATGTCTCTCTTCTTCTCACTGATGCAGCATTTATTTGTAAAAAAAATATATATATAAAAAATAATTAATATTGTGAAAAATTATTGAAATCAAATTACATTTTAAATGTTTGATTAATCAAGGAGATATTAAATTGACCAATAGCGACAGTAAAGACAGCTGTAATAAAACAAAAGATTTGATTTCAAATGAACTGTTATTTTGAACTTTCTGTTCATCAAGAATCCTGAAAAATAAAAGGATTTTACACACAACAAACAGCAAAAAACAGCTAAAATGCCAAAAATTCTGTATTGATTTACAGAAATACTTTCAAAAATCATTTTAAATAATTAGGCTATAATTTCACAATATTACAGTTTTCAAATTATTTTTGATTGAAACAAATGGAACCTTGGTGAACAGACAAAACATTTTCTGAACTTTAATCAGTAGGGAGAGTGGGGACGGTTTCAACATAGGGCAGTTGCAATAAGACTTATTCCTTTATTGAGGAATGAGAGTGATGATATTCTTTCCACAAATTCTCAGTTAGACCCATCTTCAATCTGAGAAATCAGCCATTTTTGACCGTTCCTTCAATATAAAAACAATTTTAGGTAAAAAAAATAATAATAACTCTTTCAGAAGTTTTTCTTGTTCAGAAAATCGAATTTGTTTTTTTGAAACATTATTCATTCGTAAAGTTTAAATCCAACTGAGTATTGTAAAACTCAATAAGTTAAGGCAACTCAAACTGTTCGAGGAAACTTTGCTACAAACCACTTGAGTTTAACTAATCTATACGAGTACTGTGAACTTACTCCATTTAAGTTGAAGTAATGAGGTATTTAATTTAATCATTACCTTTAACTCTGAGTTCAAAACTCTTTTTAAATGAGTAGAATTAACTTTCAGTCAATTTTGAGTTAACTACACTCATTTCATTTGATAAAGTTGACTGTTGGGTTTTGCAGTGTAGGAATAGCCATCAAGCGTTAAGTTATTGTATCTCCAGCATAGACAGTTTAATAAGGGTTGACAGAGTTGGAATGCTGTTGACATGCTGTTGCAACAGTCTCCAGTTACAAAACTCATTTTATTGCTTGCCAAATTATCAATGTATTTTAATTTTATTCAATTTCAATGTAATTTAATTTTTAAATAATAAATTCTTTGAATAATTAATTCATTTCAAAGTCCAAAGAAGTAGTTTAGTAAAGATTCAGTCTAGATTTTCAGTAAAAAAATATTTTTGTTGTTAATTGGTTGTTCTTCTAATAGTCTGTATTTATATGGCCATTTTAACACATTTAACAATTTACATTTAGTCTGTTTACAAGAAAAAATACTAATAAAATCCAACTTGATGTTTTAGAATTAGCTTTTTATTATATTTTATTTTTATTTTGTCTGTTTAAGTTTAAATTCTGCATATATTATCATATGTACACATATTATAATAATGTGGGTGGGTGTCCAACAGATGTGGGTTTTTTGTATTAAAATTTTGGGTTTCCACAAAAAAACTGTATCTGAGAAACTAAAGGAAATGCAAAAAGTGTTGCAACTCTCCCACTCTCCCCTACATTTAATTTTAAAATATATTTAACTACACAAGACCAGTCATAAATGACTCCATACAATGATTCAGAACTTTTTAATTTATTCAAATTAATAAATCAAATGAGTAAAAACTCTCAGATGAGATCCAGATGTTGACTCTCATCCTGTCTGAGCGGAGAAATCTTACATATACCAAAGTCTCGCTGAACATCCACAGAAAGCTCATCTTTAAAGGAAACATATTTTCAATGTTGACCAGCAGAGGGCGCCACAATACAGCAAAAGTGTTGATTTCATGCAGAGCAGAACGACAGGCACTTACCTTTGTCAACTATGTAACATCTGCTGGTGCCCAAATTCCTCCATTCATTAATATAGCTGAGACAAGAAAAAAACAAAAAACAAAATCATTTTTGAAAAGGATATCATATTGTCAAAAATGATTAAATGTCATGAACAGTGTTATAGCTCAATTACTCATCAAAATCAAGAGCTCTGGTCCACGCTAGCAGCTCATCCACTTCCTGCTCAAAGTCGGAAGTTTCAAATGAATCTAACAATGTCTCTGGGGAATTCTGAAGCTGTTGTGCTGTTTTACTGTGTCCTGTACGGCCTTCCGCATACCTGTAAACAAGCTCTGAGTCATTCATTCCTTACATGTTTCTTGTTTTCTAATAACTATTTCACCCAACACAAACAAAGCCAGTTTTCTTGACATACATTTTCCTCATCCATTCAATTTTCCGCATCTTCTTTTTTCTAGCAACATCTTGCTGCCGGCGGATTTTGCAGTGATGGAATTCTGTCTTCTTGGTATCTTCAGTTAGTTTGAAGATTGGGTCTTCAGACGTGGAAAACTTCAATCATACAGGTAGAGATTGAGGATAAATTGTACAAGAATCAAGTAAAAAAAATTATAATGTATTTAAAAATGCAATTTATTGCTGTTATGGAAAGCTGAATTTTCAGCATCATTACACCAATCTACAGTGTCACATTCATCAAAAATCATTATCAATATATCGAAAAGAAACATTTATTATTATAATTAGCATTATTAATATTATCAATGATCAAAACAGTGCTATAAAATAAATAAAAATAATACTACAAAATAAGACAGTAATAATAAATATACACTTACTGGCCACTTTATTAGGTACACCTGTCCAACTGCTCGTTCATGCAAATTTCTAATCAGCCAATCACATGGCTGCAACTCAGTGCAGTAAGGCATGTAGACATGGTCAAGACGATCTGCTGCAGTTCAAACCGAGCATCAGAATGGTGATTTAATGGGGCATTTTCCCAGTGATGGTTTGCAGCTGGAAGGGCATCCGCTGCGTAAGACATGTGTTGGATAAGTTGGTGGTTCATTCCGCTGTGACAACCTTGGTTTAATAAGGGGACTAAGCCGAAAAGAAAATGAATGAATGAATGATTATGGCATGGTTGTTGGTGCCAGATTTATTATATTAGAGTTTTTAAAAAACTGCTGCTCTACTATGATTTTCATGCACAAACATCTCTAGGGTTTAACGAGAATGTTCTGATAAAGAAAAAAATATCCAGTGAGCGGCAGTACTGTAGACGCTAATGCCTTGTTGAAGTCAGAAGAGAATGGCCAGACTGGATCGAGCTGATGGAAAGGCCACTTCTGTGAGCTATGAACAGGAAACTCAGGCTCACCAAAATTAGACAATAGCAGATTGGAAAAAACGATGACTGGTCTCATGAGTCCTCGATTTCTGCTGTGATATGTGGACGGTAGGGTCAGTATTTTCCGTCAACAACATGACAGTGTTGATCCATCCTGCCTTGTATCAACGGTTCAGTCTGGTGGTGGTGGTGTAATGGTGTGAGGGATATTTTCTTGGCACACTGGGCCGATTAGTACCAATTGAGCATCGTGTCAATGCCACAGCCTACCTGAGTATTGTTGCTGACCATGTCCATCCCTTTATGACCATCATGTCGATATAGACCAATATCTCTGAGGAATATTTCCAGTACCTTGTTGAATCTATGTCATAAAGCATTACGGCAGTTCTGAAGGCAAAAGGGGTCCAACCCGGTACTAGTAAGGTGTACCTAATAAAGTGGCCGATGAGTGTATATGTTTGTATAAGTTTTGTTATATTTTTGTTTTATCATATTGTATACAAATGATAAAACTGAAAATGAAAGTATTACAACTGGATAAATCACCTTGCTAGACAAAATCCTCCAGCCATTGTTCTCCACCCGTTGGTACCACCCAGCATTATTGTCCTCATTATCCCTCAGCAGTCGGCCATTATGGATCTGGTTTGAAACCAGTTTCTTCTGCAGTGTGTAATCTTTTGGACTGAAGGCGCACATGTCCACCACAGGAGCTCGAGTGTATATTTTAAAGTAGATATCTGGAGGATAGGTGGGCTGAAAATTTACAATCAGTAACTTATTGTAGCACGAATGTTTAACAAATGTCAACTATTAAACCAAACCAAATATAACCAAGCCTGAAAGTTTGAATTCTTTTTTAAAATCATTAAGTTGTAGGTTTAAATTAGTTTTAAGTTTAGCGGTTTTACATTAAACACATTTAGTTGCTCAATTTTTTATGTTTTAAATGAGTCTATTTTTGGTCGGTTGTTAAAGTGTTGCTATGTGGTTTTTTGGTTGTTACTAGGGTGTTGTTTGGTTGCTAGACAGTTACTATTGTCTTCTGAGTTGTTGCCAGGTGGTTAAGCTGTTCTGTGTAGTTGCTAGGTAGGTGATATTCAGTGTAGATTCTAGAGTATTGCTGTGGTTTACTAGAGTGTTGTGTGTGGCTGTTTGGCAGTTGCTAGGATGTTCTAGTTGGTTGCTAAGAGGTTACTAGTGTTGATATGCAGATGCTAGGGCGTTATGTGTGGTTGCTAAGATATTTCTGTATGGTTACTCATTCATTCTTTCATTTTTTTTCAGCTTGGTCTCTTTATTCATCAGAGGTCACCACAGCAGAATGAACCGCCAACTTATCCAGCATATGTTTTATGCAGCGGATGCCCTGCCAGCCGCAACCCATCACTGGGAAACACCTATACACCCTCATTCACACACACACACACACACACTACGGGCAATTTACCCTACCTAATTCACCTATAGCGCATGTCTTTGGACGTCTGGGGGCCACCCTGTATGGTTACTATATAGGGAATTTCATGGGGTTGCCTAGTGTATTTTGTGTGGTTGCTAAGGTATTGCTAGGCAGTAACTAGGGTACTAGTTGTGGTTGCTTGTGTATTTTGTGTAGAATGCTTATCTGTTGCTACTCAGTTACTTGAGTGTTCTGCGTGGTTTCTAGATGGTTGCTAAGGTATTCTGGGTTGTTGAGGTCAAGTAAGTATCACTGCAGCGTCAGAGACCTCCAAGTGGTAGGGATTACACCGCAAGTAGGTTGGGTGATCTTAAAGTGTGATGGACTTGTGGAAGGGCCACATGTAGGCTGGGTTTAGGTGGTGTAGGTGGAGTAGATATTCATAAAACACATCAGGTTACTGTGAGGTTGAGTTTAGGGTTGGGGTACGAATTCATAAAGCACAATATTGGACTCTGTGTCATGTACAAAACATTAATTGACAATTACCAATTAAAGATCAAAGCCCACCCACTTGAAGCTGGCCCCAACCTATATTTATAGCCTTCTCGTTGAGGTTGAGGCATTTTGTAGCGATACTAGTATGTTGCTGTTCTGTTGCTAGCATGTATTATTGCTTTGCTAGCATGTGACAAATAGATAGATAGACAGACAGACAGACAGACAGGAATACTACACAAATTAGAAATATTACATTACTTTAAAGGGGTGGTCCACAGTGTATTTTTATGGCTGGTTGTGTTTATAAGATGCTAAGCAATGTGTGCTTATGCTTCACTTGTTGAAAATCATGTTATTTTTTCATATATCATACTTTGATTATATACTACTCAGAAAAACGTATGTCATATTTCCTAGTTCTTCTGAAAGGTCCACCCTCAAGAGGCTCTGATTGGTCAGCTAACATCATGAATCAGACAGAAATGAAGAGCACACAGCTCACACCTGCTCTCTAAAATAAAATCTGACAAGTGCCTTTCACATATATTCAGAATCAGAATGTGTAAGTAATATAAAACGTTCACATATCTTTAGCGAGTTGGTCATTTGAGATATATAATGCACAGAAAATGTACGCATAGAGAGACACTGCACGTGATGCTAAAGATTGTGGCTGTTTACAGGAATTTGACTGATAAATATAAATTTTTAGCTAAATTGTTAGCGGTGCCAAACAGCAATACCCATTGTTAACATCCTTGTTTACATCCTCACTACAACATAGCATTAACGCTAGAAACTGTGCATTTAATGGATCAATTTTAACAAATAAAAATACCTGCACGTTGTAGCTCACAATCCACAGCTTCGTCAGTTAAAAGAGTTTCAGCCGAATCCAGCACTGAACTGGGAGAGATTCTGGAAGTTCTCCATTGTCAAATGCAAGCACTAAATCTTTTTTCTTTTATAATTCTCTGGAACATAATTCAAATTAAATTATAAGCACTTCTCTCTTTGTGTCATGTCCTAGTGAAGCCCAAATACAGAAACAGGACAAACTGTGGAAATAGCAGCGTTTGGACAGCATTTTAGCTTTTAGTTTTAACATTATAGCACATCTGGCCACGCTCCTTCGCTGCGCAGGGTGTGTGTGTGAGGTGAATGCACGTAACGGGAAGCCCTTGTGATCTCACTATCCCAGATGTATTTTTTTGTAGTCCCCAAACTTCGTTTGCTGTTGACTTTGCTAAGTTAACTCTAAAATCCAAGGTCTCCCTTTGCATTGAAGCGTATTACATTCAGACATGTTGTTTATGTTCACACTGCTACAATACACATCAACTAGAGTTTAAAATATGATATCGTGGACCACCCCTTTAAATGAGATTAAATAAATAATAAAAATAGTAGATAGATATGAAATAAAATAACCTTGTAAAGGAAACATGGACATCATTAACACTCACCCCACCCAATCGGAATCTGATAAGAGCCCCTGAAGCAGCATCCAGAATATTAGCCTAGAAATAAGCATTCAGTGTTAGGAAAACTAAACAATAAACATCTCAATTAAACTTTACAACAGAAGTATTTACCTCAGCAGGGTTAATAAATCTAAGGAGGAGACGTGGATCCCCTTGATTATGGAAGCTCAGAAGCTTCTTGAGGTGCTTGAAAACAGCAGTATCCTATACATGACAGGCACGGTATGCACTGTTTATTTGTGAATAAAATCCTATGTAACCACATTGGGGAAAAATGTAATACACAAGCTGACTAACAACATGTTTTCTCCAAGCTCTCTGGATGATCATGGCTGCTCGGCTGAACTCTGCTTCCAGCTGTGGGACAAGAATGACATTAGTCTGTGATGTGGTTTCCTCAGCTGGAGATGCGGGGTGATGCCTAAAGAGGGAAAGAATGATTGACAGGTTGTTGTTTTTTTCCTTTGCTTCACTTGTTTAGAAATAACTCTGCTTCATTCTATTTTATACCTGTCAATGGAGTATTCGTGTTCAGTCATTTTCTTGCTCATGCTAGCACGTGCTATTAAAGGTTATAAAAGAGAGGAAAATATTTATTCGATGAAATGTTAAATGGATTAACTTTTCAATTAGCCGAACTAAAGGAGCATATAATTCTCTTAAGAGAAAGAGAAGACGGATATGGCAAGCTGTTATAATAATTATAGCTGTTATAATAATTGCTGCATCTGCATTTTATGTTACTACATTACTTTTAGTAACTTTTGCATTAACCACTATGCTTATTTTGCTTATTTTACTATGGTACTAGTGCTCAATGGAAAAGATATGTGTAATTCATAAGATAATATACCAATTAAATAAATACTAGTAATTATTCATCGAATACTAGTAGTCATGAATATTATTATTTATTATTAGGTATTCTTGTGATTATTGGAGTAGTGGTAACAAATTTCTAGTAATGGGATATTAACTATATTTCTGCAAAAATCTATTCCAGTTGTGACAAAAACATATTTGCATATAACTACTTGCATATTCCAGTTTTCATTTTTAAATACTACATATTTTTAGAAACAAGTCAGGGTTCAATGCTAAGGACATTTTCTACTGGCCAGACTGGACTAGCGATTCAGATTTTTACTTGCTATGCCAAAATTTTCACTGGCCCCACTAAAATAAATAAATATTCCTTAGCCACATATTTTAAATATTATGTCAAAAATGATGTTTGTAAATCTAGAATTTAAATATTTTTAAAATGTTAAAATATTTAGCGGTTAAATATATCAGTATGGAAAATGTGCAGTTATTTTATAGCAAAACAAAAGGTTGCTGACTTAAAAGTGACGGAAAACTATACAAAACATCACTTAATTTTTTTTCGTTGTGTTGTACCCATGTAAGTAACTGTTTCCACAACGTTAGAAACAGACGTTTTCTTTTAGCCTCATAATTTGATGTTGCCGTCTCTTCACTGTACAGGTTTTTACCAGGTTGTCGAAAAAAATAACGTGCTCACAACTTCCAATCAGATAAAAGGAACTGAAAAGCAATATGGTGTTTACGACTTTACAGAAAAGGTAGCATTCAAAGACTTAAAAACACAAATTGTTTCTCGATTCTAAGACTGTATTTGCATGCAACTGACAAATAGTCGCAGACAAATAAAAATTTTATGACAAGGCAGCACTGGTCTGATCGGGCCAGTAACGATTCTCTTTACTGTCCCGAACATCTCTCACGTTGGCCCCGGGCCATAAGGCAGTCCTTATTGTTGAACCCTGCAAGTATATCATTATTAAATACTAGTACTAGGAACTCATAGCTACTTTAGTAAACAAATACTAAGGCCACACAATAGATTTTTGTTTAAAACAGCATTTTTCTGTCCATTTTGGCTAATTGTCAATACTTAGACAGTGTTTTTATGCTACCATATCTTTTTAAAAATACTCTAAAAAGGATACATTTGAAAATGCCGTTTTCGAGTCAGTGTAGACTTTGAAAACTGAGGCTTTCAAAAACAATGCTGCATATTTAGTCATGTGACAAATTTAGCTAAAACAGTGGAAGACTTTGTACAGCAGTTGTTTTGGATGCTCTGTTTTAATTGCATTGTTAAAGATTGATGTCAGTTTGTACATGCTATAGATTGCTTTTCCTTAAAGGACATGGAATGTTTACTTAGAGCTGTTGTTTTGGCACATCTCCCAGTCTATATTCTCTCACTCGCTTTTGCAACTTTATACAGGATCCTCAAATAACCAGGAAAGAAATAAATGTAAGGCTAAAATGAGGCAGGCCTTATTGTCTAAACGTTCAGTACAGGGACGAAATCATTTTCATTTGCTTCAATGTGGTTGAACAAACTTTGAGAAGTGATCGAAAAATGTGTATGTGAAGTGTGTTTAGATGAAAACTATTTTTAGATTTATCTAGTGTAGACATAGCCTAATACTTATTAATTTCAATCTAGTATTTATTCACTATAGATACTAGTTTTTGTTTAGATACTAGTACTTATTGATTAGCTACTAGTACACATTTATCAAATACTAGTGACTAGTATAAAAACTAATAAGAGCTAGTATCTTAGTAATGAATACCAATGCATAATATATAAAAACTAGTATCTATTTAATAGGTGAATATCTCTATGTAATTAAAAAAGTCTGTAATTATTAATTACCAGCATCTTATAATAGGTATATCTAAAAAAAATGTAGTAGTATTTAAGGGATAACATTTTGTCATAAAAACATGCACCTGTTTGTACTAAATTGAATAGCTGATGTCACTAGACCCTTTTCACATTTCCGGATTTTCAGTAGCGGAAGTCGTCATAGTTGGAAAAACTTAGAGTGCAGAGATTGAATGGGAGAATCTTATTTGCTGAAATAATTCAATAAAACCTCCACGATAATGTTATAAAGACTTTCAGAAAAAGGAAAAAAATATGTGAGACTGATGACGGCAGCCAGAGGAGAGAATAATGTCAAATTTGCTGTCCTGTCCCATAGACGCTGCATTAGAAACACTTACACAAGCGGTTATTTGTTTATTATAATTTGAAGCAAAGATGATATACTACATACATAAATACATTTAAATATTCATACGTTTAAAAAATATATATTAAAAACTTTCAAGGATTTAAGATGCTGATGATCGTTAAATGCGTCATAACAGGCTTGTCCCTAACAGATCCTCATAGAATACCACAAATTAGTTACAATAGAATAACAGAATTACTATTGAAATAAATATGTAGCAGTTTCCAATAATAAACACCAGTATATAATTTATTTAAATTAGTTTTATTATTTAATAAATAATACTATGTATTTAATTAACATTTAGAAGAATAAGAGGCTACTAGTATTAGCATTTTTGTTATATGCTAGTGATTGTTAAAACAGCTTGCCATAACACGTTCATTTAAGGCTAAAGCTCAGCTCCCTGATTTATTAATCCTCTGCCATGTCAAGGAATGGGAAATAGGTTTATTCATCTAGGATTATTTAAGGATTGTGTTGGATTACATTTAACTCCACCCAGATACTCAATTATAAATTGTATAGAAGGTTGCTTTAAATAAATCATTTCCGCCCACAAAATGTTACTTACTTGATCTCTGGAGACGTCTTCACATAATCAACAAACAGATTCAGGCTTATAGAAAATATAGCCGAATGAAAGATTTAGGCAGTAACGTTAGGGGAATAAAATATGTAATTAAATCTGAGGCGGTGTAAATAAAGCCCTTAACGTTAGATGTAAACATACATTTCAGATCAATCCCATGCGCTGAATATCGAAAAACAAACAAAATCGTTTCAACTACATTTCCACAAACGCGATGTCTCTTTAAAAAAACCTAACGTTAACTCAGAGGTAAAAACGTAACCAAAAGAAGAGACTAAATATTGAGGAACTTATTTTAAAGTTATCAAATTAAACTAGCTCTTGCTTTGGCTTTACCCATTCATGGAACGGGCGACTACTTGCCTTCAAAAGGCGTTACTACAGCAACGTGAAAACACTCAATAAACACAAGCAGTACGAGATTATCACAGAGTCAAATGACTTTTTTTAATAAATGGAAAGACGTGTGGACTACATGTTCTTTTGACAAGCAAAAATTGCTGCTGAGTTAAAATCGTGACAGAAAATTCTGATTTTAATTATCAAATGTACTAAAGCAAGTGTCGTAATAGTTCACATAAAATGTAAAATTACATTTTTATTCTTTCCCCCGAACATTAGCAGAAGCTAACAGTTTCACTAAAAAGTTTATGGTAAATCTGAGGCATTGTGTAATCTGGAACTGGAATCTGAATGATTTTGAGATATTGATCTTCAAAGTTTTTGCATTCCATAGCAAATAGTATGTGTGCAGCATTAAAATGTAAACAACTTATTAAAAACATAATGTAAATAAGTTGTCATTTAATAAGATGCTAGGTAGAACCTTATAATTCTGAGGGGACAAAATGTGACAGGACTGATAGAAACATGATGGGGATAATTGAAAAAAAAAAAAAAAAAAAAATATATATATATATATATATATATATATATATATATATATATATATATATATATAGTACAAGTGTCAAAAATAAAGTACTAATGCTGACAATGCTGATTTGTCAATAACCAATTTTTAACATGAAACTGAAAAGAACAAAAAGTGCATGATCTTCTAATTGTTGGTTGGATGAAGTTCTACTCCCCAGTAGCTTTCACTGAAAATACCGACTGACTGAACTGACTTTTTTTTTAGAGGAATACAATCTCCTCTTTCACCACCTTTAGTAGTTTGGTAAGCAGTCGTTCTAACTTTCACGAACTGATTTAGTGGTGAAGTCGTGTTATGTAAAGTCTTAAACAGTAAACAAACATGTACATATTTAATTACATTTTCCCAACTAAGCAGGTTATATTTCTTTAACATTGAACAATGGTGAAACTGAATTGTTTTCTTATCACAGGTTTTTAAGGATTGTTTGTACAATGAATTAAGTGGCTTCAAAGTAGTAATGCTAGCTTGGGACCGAGTTAAACAATAAGTGATGTGAGAGATAGTCATATAGTGATAAAAAATTAGGGCAGCCTCACATGACATATGTCAAATAATAAATCAAAATATTCCTTAACTGAATTATATATTTGTAATATTTATTTATAATTTCATGTTTTTAATCAATTGGTGTAAAGGATAACAACTTAAACCTTGCTATTTCTGAGTTTTCCCCCTAAATAACAGTTTTTAGCCTAACAAAACTATTAAAGCTGTCGGTTTAATAGGGCTAAGGACAATGACAGGGTTTGTAAATTTGTTGTTTAATGAAGAACAAAAATCTGAGAACCAAATGCATGACATATTCCTTTACAGAACAACCCACAGAAATCAACTATCAGTCCATTTGAGACATTTTTGAGATAAAATACTTCTTGTTCACTGTATTTATGTTTTTATTTGAGGGAAAGATAATGTATGTTTATGGTAGAATGTCCCATATGGCCTTCAATAAAACAAACATATTATCTGTTGCTCATTGTATATAAATTAAGGTACACTTTACTTAATATTACTTTTTAATATCACAGTGACTGCAAAAAAAAAAAAACATTAATATTTTAGTTTTTTTTTACAACATTATATAGTCCACAGCCTCTGCTAACATGTTTGTTCCCCTTCAAAGCAGTTGTTCAGCAAATTGCCGAAACAAGAGAGCACCATATCAGGTGTATCACTCATAACTGCTCATTGTGCAGCTACATTTAATATTAAGAGATGGCAGGTTGTGACATGAAAGGTTGTTCTAATCAACTGTAATTAAACAACTGTTCAATAGCTGTATTATTATAGAACATTTAAGTTTACCAGGACTGAGTGTACACTTATGCTTTATTTTACACACTGTTACATTTTATAAGTGATCAAAATGATTCAATATTGCCTTTTTTATCTTAACAGAAATAAGTGCATTTAATATATTACATTTTCATAAATATCACAAAAAAAAATGTTATTAATGAAGACATTCAATAAATCATGCGGAAAGGACCAATCGTTTTACAGCATTTAGTTAGTATTGCTGTAATTGACTCATGCTTTTGGAGGTCCTTAAGGTGTCAGCCCCCCTTCTAGCATAATAAATTACAATAAATGATTAATTAATATTACACTTGAAAACAAATAAGCATGACAAACAGTACAGTTGAACTGCACAGCAAATAAAATCAAATGTGAGTTCCAGAAATTGCTACGTTCATCTTTTGCGTACTTTGTCTGAAGGTCTTAACACATTTTTATGATCGTGTCATTTAATCTGTGCGCCACTTCTACAAGTTTCTCTTTTAACAATGATATCAAATGGATCACAGACTCATGATTAAGCTCCCGTTTTGTTGTGGCAAAAATACCATAGTTTATAATGGGTTGAAAAATATTCAAACACATTTAAACATAGTTGGAGTTTCTGAGTTGACAGCTACTGACTATAGAATAGCTGTCAGGAAAATGACTGTATTGTGACTGTCATGCTGTGCATTCAAATAGCTTAGCAGAGAAAAACACCTATAACCTACAGGCAGCTCTGAACAAAAGTAATTATGCTAGAAGTATCCATTTCAAAGTTTCAAGATCCAGAAACATATAAAAATATAGACAGTATATATACACTGTATTGTACTGTATATACAGTATATTGCACTGTATTGTGAAATACATTCATAGTTAAAGCAAACATAATTATCCACACTAAAAGATTCAAGAAGGACAAATCATAACATGAAAAGCATCACATATAATTATAATTCCTTCTGTTAATGCAAGAACTGGGTTCCAAGTGGTATTCAGAATTTGGATATTGTTTGACAAAGGCAGTATTAAGGCAGTATAAATTGTAAGCACATCTGCAACTGAATAACAATCTAAAGTTCTGTTTCCAAATCATCTTCACCACCACTGCCAAGATAATATTCATCATCGGTGGTGGTGTCAGAACCAGACTCCTCAAAAACAGTCAGGCTGTTTGTGAAGCTCCTTGAGGGAAGCTGAAAAGGAGACAGATTTTCAGGAGTTGTCCTGATGGGGGACAGTGTAGCATGGGCTTGTGATATCCGACGAGGAGATGAGGAAAAAGATGGTGATGGAGGTGGGGTTGGGTCTGCAAAATCAAGTTCAAGACAATCGTCTGTAAATTCAGTTTGAGACGGTTTACCAGTGACTGATTTGGCATTGTTGCTTGGGGAAAGGCTAGTACTCATTAAGGAGTCAACCGTTTGATTCCCCTTTGATCCAAAGTCTTCCAAGCTCGAAAGGTCGCTGGTGCTGCTTGTTGAGATTCGTCTGGAACCTGATGGGCGGCTTGAAACCACGCCACTGACCGAGAAAGATCGTCCAGCATGCAGGCCATACTTTAAATCAGCACATGATGAGGACAAGTGAGATCTCACAAGGTTTTGCGGCAGGGAACTCTTAGCAGAGCTTAGTGGAGAGATGTCATCAGACTCGCACAGTGAATTTGTCTTTTTGCTAATCGGACTATAAAACACATTGTCATTCTGAATGTCTTCTGAATCGAAATCAAACAAGTAAAATGGTGACGATGGTCCAACTGAAGATTTTCTGTAATGTGGCAAGGTGGCAGAGCGGTTCATGCTTTGGGCCTTTAGCCTGTGTTGACTAAAGCTCCCGCCATTTGACTGGTTTTCCATTTCATTGCTATCCATCTTTTGTTGATCAACGTTTAGTTTGTTGTCTGATGATTTCTTTGAAGATAAGGGTGATGAGGACCCAAAAGAGGCAAAATAGGTTTTATCAGTGGTCAAAGATGAGCTGGGGGCCTCCCATGTGCACCCAGAACCATTTTGTTGATTGTTCGTTTTTGTTGACTTGTTTTGCCAATCCATATCGAAAGTATTCTCTGACTTTCTTATTGCAAGTGGCGGCAATGACCCAAACGTTTCTTTATTAGCGGTCAAAGATGAGTTAGGTACTTCCCACATGCACTTGGAATACTGTATTTCAGCCGTAGACCTATTTTGTCCATCCACATTTAATGTGCGTTCAGACATACTTAATTCTGTTGGTGACAATGAACCCAGGGAGACTTTATTAGTTGTTAAAGAGGAGTTACAGGGTTCTCCTTTGTGTCCAGAACAAGTTTTCTTATCTGTTTTGGGTTTTTCAAAAGTCTCAGTGTCTAAGGATTGCTGAGTAGGGGTCTTTTTTGTGTCAAGTGTGCCTTCTGAACTTTTGACACCAAACGTCAGTTTCAATCGATTTAGCATTTGATCAATCCTGCTGGTTGTTCTGAAAACTGGTAAATGTCTTTTAGTTTTTAAAAACTGGGAACTACCAACTTCTTTTTCTGGCAAAGAAGCTGAAGAGAAGGCACCATCTTTCTTTACTCGTAAAGCAAAAAGTCCTTTCTTTGAATTTGGACTCTGTGTTTCTTGCAATTTCTCTTGCATATGCCCAGAGGTAGTCTCTTTCTCATGTGGAAGTGGAGTCTGACGTTGTGCATTAAGGTCTTTAGGGAGAAAGTACTTCTCTTTTTCGCTCAGCCTGTGCTTGGGGTAAACATTACCCTTATCAAGCCTAAGTGCCATCGAGTCATCATGTTCTAGGTTATGGAAGTTGTTTGAGCCTGTATTGGGCTGCCTTGGGTGTGAGCTTATATTGGCGCTTCGGCTCTCCATGACAAAACTTGCATTTGCTGTAGTTTGTGAGAGACATGGCTGGGCAGGTCTGTTATTATCTAGGTTGCTTGCATAAGCTTGAACTGCTGTCCTCTGTTCTCTCTGAGATGAAGCTGAATCTTCCCTTGGTCTTATTGTTATACTTGTGTATTTGGATGTTAAAGAACTTGGGTCGTTTGTTATAAGGTCAGGATTATTGTTGTAAGATGTAGATCGGGTATGTGTTTCAGGCACAGGTGGAGAGGACAGTCCTTGTAAAGTACTACTCAGTGCAGGTCTTGAGGAGATGAGGCTAGAATACGGAGAAGTGCTGAGGCGAGGTGCTGATCCTCTTCCAAAGTCAGGAGGCAGAGATTGAGCAGGAGCTGCATAAGTGCTTAAGCTTTTACTTAATTCTTGTACCTTGGGAACAGATGGGTTGAAGTCAAATGAAAATCTTGAGGGAAGTGTTTTCCAGTCATCATGCTGTTTTACACCCCCATCTTGTTTAGGAGGTGAGGTTTCAGCATTCTGTATCTGGGACAAAGGGGTGGAAGGGGAAGGGGAGGACAGAGATGAGCTAGACTCCCGTAGGTATGAATAGATGCTCGGTACTCTGACACTATGAAGAGGTCTGGTTGGAGAAAGAGGGCTTGAAAGATCCATTGAGCTTTGACTTGAATTTTTCCTGGAGTATATCTGCCCCACATTTGTTGGGCTTAGTCCATCTGCAGAGGAGTCTTTTCGGGGGGAGAAGATAAGTCTGTCTGTGAAAGTGCTTGTGCCGGAAAAATTGCTAGCTGTTATATTATGTGTGCTTTGTGATTTTGACATATGAAAACTAGATTGCTGAATTTGAAAACCTGTTGAATCTTTGGGAGGAATTACAGTGTTTTGAATTACTTGTCGTTTGGTAATGTTGGGGTTCTGCAGGTTGTTGCCGTTACCAGGACTTTGTTCCATGGGATCAATGTTCTCTGTGCTAGAATATTCCCTTAAAAGAACCAAATAAGAACTCTGATGAGATTTGAGAGCCCCAAGTTGGCTGGTTTTGGTTGTGGAATGAGGGAAATGTTTATTCTCTACTTCTGCTGTGGCAACAGAAGCGTCCAGTCCCTTTGAAATGACTGTCTCTTGTTTATTTGAAAACATTGATGTGTTTAATGGTACCCTACTCTTGATTCTAGGTGAGAATCGAAATTGACCGACTGGCATTCCCTCTGTTCTTACAGGAGTGTCAAGGTTTTTGTTGATTTGGTCTTCAGAGGTAACAGATTGGTCAGATTTCAAAACGATTCTGCTAGGCAATGTAAGTGACCTTATAGATCTAGTTATCGGAGTTTGTGTAGGCTCAGGAGTAGAGTTTCTCAAATTTGATCTCCTCAAAGAGAGAAGTAAACTGCTTGTTGTAGGCTTGGAGCTCAATGATTTAAAAGGTTCATTTTCATCTCCAGTTTTTGATACTCTATATCCTGAATGAGGTAAATTTGGCACCTGACGTGAGTCCAGTGTTGTGGGAAAAGAATGCAATTCTCTATTGGTGTACGTCATGCCCACAGAGGAGGATTTTGTAATGGGTCTCTTTTGGTTTACTGTTGACGTGACATTTGGGGAGTTGTTCTCTTTTTGCCAGTCAGCAGAGTAGCTGGTTCCAGCATTCACCTGCATGTTACTGTCATTGGCCATCATGTGTTCAGATGGTTGCCTTTGGAAAGGAAGATAAGGTTGTTGCCGCCAATCCTGTTGTATTAAGGTAGATGGGTTGCCATACTGTCCACGATCTTGAACTTCAGTCTCTGCCTCACTGATGCCTTGCTTGGGTCTTCGAAGACGGCCACTCCAAGGTGGAGCAAGAACTGAAGCCAGTGCAGATGTCAACATAGCAGTTGTAGGATTTATAACATTAGCTTTTACCTCAGGAGTTTTTTCAGAATATCCCGCAGAACCGGCTAACGACAAAACCTGGTCAAGTACTTCTGACTGGTGTGGAAAAAGTTGGGAATCAGTGCTTGATTTTAGAACACTGTCCAGATTATTGTGGTTTTGTAGAGTTGTTGGAGCATTCTCTCTAGGGCCTCCAGATTCCTTCTTTACTTCTGTATGTAACTCATAAATAAGATGAAAAGAGTTGCGTGTTAGTGAGTCCTGATGGTCGATTTGCTCATGAAGGCCTATGTTGTGTTGTATTCCTGTATTTTGTCCATGTTTGGGTGTGTTATGTCCATGCTGATGCAGAGTGGCTTCATCAAAGGTTGCTTTTTGCCCATCCTTAAGCAATTCACCAGTTGATTCACCACATTGCTCTGTCGATGAAAACAAGTCCCTCAGCTGTCAATGCAAGCAACACATATTTTGATTAATATTTTGAATAGTACAAAAATTAATTCAAGCTCAGTAGCATTTATACATTCTTACACTACCAAACTGCATTTTAGACTTGGTTGGGAAACTTGTAAGAAATGTGTCTCACACATATGTGAGATGTTTGAACAAATCTCCACTCCCATTTCAACTGTTTACACATTCAGTTCAATTTCACAGCTGAGCTTTGCATTCCACTTCAAAATACTACACATGCAAAAAAAAAAAAAAACTGCGAACATGGCCTGGTAGAGCAGAAATATTTTCAATGGGCAGTACGCCAAAGAAAGTTTATTATGTTTATGTAAGATATGATTGACTTTCAGGGCACAGATTTTATCTTGACATTCTCTCACTAAAAAAGATAAACAGCCTTATTCTCATTTATGTGTCTTAGCTTGTGAGCTTACCTCTGTGTTGTGTTGATTAGCTGTGTTTTTTTCCGCTTCAAGTGTTCTGTAGCTGTCAAATTGAGAAAATAATTAAATTAGCATATGCCTTTTTTATGAGCAAGCTGAAAAAAGTAGGTAGATTAAAAATACCTCCTTGTAACATTTGAATATCAAACATAAGTTCCCTCAGGCAGATAAACAAGGATGAAAAACTCTGACGAAAACAAAACTCTCATCTAATTCAATGTTTCACACGCTATTCTCACTCCCTAAATACTTTTTTGACTTCAACTGTCTTTCATACAGTATATTCATCAAGACAACGCAAGGAAACAAGACCAACGACATTCCATTCTTTCTCCCAGTTTAAGCATTTTAGCAGTAAACAATTCATTGGCCTGGCATGAAGGGAGGGGTCCATGGTTAAACTGTTTAATAATTAGTACAGAGTGTTTCACACACATTAGCGCATACGGTATGCAAAAACACATGCTCAAACTCTGTTTAATGCCTGCTTTGAAAATAACTCAATTCATGTTTATTTATATGGCACTTTTATAATGTAGATTGTGTCAAAGCAGCTTAACATACATGTTCTAGTAAAATGAAACTGTGTCAGTCGAGTTTTCCGAGTTGAAGTTCAGTTTAGTTCAGTTCAGTGTGGTTTAAATTTCAAATCTAGCAATGCGCAGCTCCACAAGTTCCAAACCAAGCGAGTCAGAGGCGACAGTGGCGAGGAACCAAATCTCACCAATAAAAGAACACTCATGCTTTTTAAAGACAAATACAGCAATACTAATAAATCCCAATTTACTGCTTCCAAGATAAAGGTGTAAACAGCTTTATTTGAGCTCAGCAACACACCTAGATACAGTAACGACAAACAGCCAATCTTAGGTGATATGCTTTCATGCTATCAATCATAGCTATTAAATCATGAGTTATTACCATATAAGGCCTATTATTGCTAGTCACAGGTCGAAAGGGCATTTGCCTTTCTGGCTAGGAATGTGTAACTGACAGCGAACAAAAAGTGCAATGGCATCATTTACAAAACAAAAGCTATTATTATGTGCGGTATTTGGTGAAATCAAATTTTCATAAAACATTTACTAATGAAGTATTTATATCCACTGTATTATGAACTGAATTTGAAACCAAACTTAAATATGAACTGATAATTTAAGTTAAAAATAAGTTTTTCCTGCAGATGCCATGAAAAAACATTTTCCCAAAAGAACTTTTTATTTTTATTTTTATTGTAAACAAGTTTTGTGGAATGTAAAAGATCTTTAGATGCCAAAGGTTCAACATGGGAACAAGCTTTTTTGGTTCCTGAAAAAAATCTTCTAGTGAACAGTTATTTAAAGTAACATTCAATTATCAGTGTACAGAACATTTTATTTTTGAAAATTTATTTATTGAGTTTTTGCATTTACAAAAGCAGTACATTACCCCTCCCCTACCACAAACATGACACTGTTTATGGTAGAAAGAAAAGAAAAAAACATAATAAAAATAAAATAGATGTATTCTTCCAGACTTTGAGCTGACAGTGAGGAAACAGAGTGTACCATATTTGTACCATATTTGTTCAGACTATATGTTATCATTTACCATGAGCGGCTTGGCAACATCAAAATAATATTAATAATAATAATAAATAATAATATTAATAATAATAATAATAATTATTATTATTATAATAAAGAATTATACAAAAGGTGCATCTTAATATAAAAAAACCCAGGTCATCTCATCTTGAATCACAAAACCTTCCAGATTTATCAAAGTTAACGGTGAGGGAATACATTATATCATATTTGTATAGTAAATATGTTATCATTTGACATGAAGGGCTTGAAAACATCCGAAGAGTACAAAATAGAAATAACGTATAAATAAATGAAAAATAAATTAATGAAAATTAAATTAAATTAAATTAAATTAATTTAAATTAAATAAATAAATAAATGAATTCTAAAGACCAGAGAGTTCTTCAAAGTATTTAATAAAGGGGGACCTGTACAGAAAATTTTAATGGTCTAATAAACATTTTCTACTTTAAAGAACTTTGTGTAATTGAAACGTTCATGGATGTAAATAGTTCCTCACGGAGGCATCAATACCAATAAAGAATTTTCAGTAAACATGAAAGGATACAACAATTAAGCATGGGCCAGTATAAGTTTCTGACGGTATGATAACCTTGGAAAAAAATACCATGACAGTATTGTGATTACTGCTCTAAAATAAAAATTAAAAAGTTATTTTTAAATGTCTGGGTGAAAAAAAAATTGTCCCCATTGAACACAAAATATTTTATTTTAAGAAAAATGTATAATATTTTGGAATAGTAAATATGTCAGGCTATTATTATTATTATAATTATTAATATTAAAATAAAGCATTGATTTCTGCTCTCCTTATTAGTTTCAAAAAGATTTCTTTACAAAAAATGAAAATACATAAAAAAAACTTACATATACCTTGGGAAAGGTGTAACAGAACATTTTAGAGGTATTAAAACCTTGACTTTTCCAAACTGCTGTAAACTTTGTAAACAGTTATCGTCCAATGCCTAACAACAATATTCACTCTTCTGAAGATTCTTCATTGACATCGATAGTTCCATTTTTAACTTTTAGTTTTAAATAGTTCTTTAGTTTATTAAAATATTTATTGAAAAACAAGGTTCACTACGCAAAACAAATGACTCTTCCATGGCATCACTTTAAATGACACAATACTGACACCTTTATATTTTTAATTTCTGGCTAACAAACATAAGCCGATAATAACTTTTATTACAGTCGATAATTATTTCTATTGAGAAACTGATAATTGGCTGACTAAAGTTTTATATATTTTTTTATAAAAAGGAGTCAAACACTAAAATATTTTAAAGTGTAAAACTAAAAGCATTTGTTGTAAATGGAAGTAATCACAAAAAAACTAGACAATAATGTTTAGATTTGCTAAAGATTACATTGCAACAGTTCAATAATCTATGAGCAGACAATCCAAATTTGTTAGCATTATACTATATATTTATTTTTAATCATGACAAAGTGAAAAACAAACTCTTACACTCACAAGTTTGTTGTCGATTGTAATTTTTTTTCCTTTGCTGTGTCTTTTTTATTTCTTCTGGTGGGAAGCTTGATAGAGATGGTGGAGGTGAATCTGGTAGATTCCCTCTGTTCTTTGGATGTATTCTTGGATCCAAACAGTAATATCTGCTTGATTTGCAAATCTGATCAGCGAAAGAAAAAAAAAAACAGAAGTGTTAAAAAGAACACAACTCAACATGGCAGAAAATGCTTGTCAATAAAATGATCAAATATTTATGAATTTATAATGATCTGTTTATGTGCAAGATTACAATCACACCTCTGCTGCTTTTCTGCTGCCCTTTTAACTGCAACGGTGGTGGAGATGAAGTAGTTCTTGTCTCTAAATCCTCCTTGTTGTGGTTATGTTGAGAAGCTGCAGCAGGATTTAATTTCTCTTGCTTACTGACATTCTGAAAACTAACAAAGCCTTGGCATTACAATACAATACACCGACAGCAGTCTCTTTCTCTTTGCAGACGCATGAAATCCACATGTCTGCAACTATTTAGTTAAACCGTGAAGTTTAAGGTTCACTCCCTTCAGAAAAATTCTTTACAGTAACACCCAGCACATGCCTCCAACAGGAAAATTTCATGTTTGTGCTCACGCCTCCACAAGAAAATCATCAACAGATCAGCCCAGTGGACAGCTTTGGCCAAATTACCACTCAGTGAAATGATTTTTTTTTTTTTTAAAGGAATGACCTAATGAGACCAAATGGGTGTAACAAATTGCATAAGAGCTTAAGTATTACCATAAACATGGTGAGACATGTTAAGCAGACATTCAGCAGAAGAGTAATGACAACTCATTATGTCATAGAGGTGTAATTAAAATCATCTCATTAAACTGAGATGTAGTCAAGCAAACATGTTGGTAAATATATATATATATATATATATATATATATATATATATATATATATATATATATATATATATATTTACATTTTTGATTGTTTAAAAGAGCACTTCTCTGTGCAGGCAACATGTATTATATAACTGGGGTATATAACTGGGGTGGTGCTATACAAAAAAAAATCAATGCTTGAATTATTGTTCAATTCACTGACATTGTTATTATTCTTTGATTTTAGGAAATTCAATTGCTGTCACTGATGCACCTAACTGTCAGCAAATTAATATTTACGAAAACTAGAACTACGTAAGAACTTCAACCTGTCCTCTTAAAGCTACAGGCTTTCTTGGGTTAAAGTTCAGTTTAAGAGAAATGAAAGTAAGAAAAGTAGAGTTTGAGAAATAGAAAGTGTCCTCACAGCGTAAGCGAGTACTTATAAACTTTGTAGCCTACCGTGTTTTGTCAGTGTGTGTGTAAAATCTCTCCTGATCTGAGACAACGCGACTCACGCTGGCTTTCACTCCGCTTTGACAACTTGACTGCTGCACCTTCGCATCATGTTTTGACATTATAGGCTGACTGTAGCTGGCGCATCTAGTTCGGTTACCTCCCTTTATACCCTCCGGGCATCAGCTGTACACTTAAGTACCCTCACAGAGCCACGACTGTAAATTCCAGCGGAGAAACGGCGTGGGACAGCCGTCATTCTCAACAGAGTCTGGCATCCGCAGCCCGTCATGTGTTTCTTTCCCACCGAGGCGTGTGTGTGTGTGTTACCGTACGTTCACACCGAAAGCGGCGAGAGCGTCCAAGGTCGCTCTGGCCGCCCTGGCGACAACGCTCTCTGCCTTCAGCTCCTGCGGCGAGAGCGTCAAAACTCGCTACATTGATCTCGTACTTAAAGGAGCCATTGCAGCATATCAGTTACATTCCTGCATAAAGACATGTTTTTAGCGTGAAAATGTTGCGCACTTCTTATCAAATTCATACAACAATGGAAGATCAAGTTGCATGTGGTGTGCCTTTGCTCTATTTATCCAATATGTGTCCATATGTCTGAAATATCCTGAAGCAGCAGTACTGTTTTGTACTGTCACATCGCGTGAGATTCCCGCTTTTTAAAGATAAATTTATATAACATTAATGAACATCAGTAAATCGTCAGTAACTTATTTAATGCATGTTCCTGTAAGAAAACATTGTAAATAATGGGAAATCCGGCGACCGCAATAAACAAACCCTTGGGAACAACTGTGGTCGGAACCAAAGTTCACAGGTCTGTGTTCTCTGAACTGCTATCAAGCGGTGGACGTCTTCATTCTGATTGCTTGCCGCCGAACCGCGTCATAGCTCATTACCATAAAGTTGACTTCATTTCAACTCTCCTCGACGCTCACGCCGGCGAAGACGCGCCGCGCTGCTCCTCGCCGCTTATCGACGCCTATCGCCGCCGGCTCTCATTGAAAATGAATGACTTCCGGCTACTTTGACGCTCTCGCCGCTTTCGGTGTGAACGTACGGTTATGCAGAGCAGAGCTGCGGAAGTGCGGGAACGCGCTTGTGTTTTGGCAACAAACTCTGTACTTTAAAATGGCGAGTGTATGGACATATGGAAATATGGAAATTCTATGCCAAGACAACGTTGGCGTTTTATTTATTATTTTTGTATGTCATGCGAACTTGTGATAGGCCTATTTTGACTTCTACCAAAAGAGAAAGGGTTTCAGTCATATATAAAATATAAGTATTACCTATGATGATAGCAACAGAGAATAAACAAGCCGTGTTTTATTTATATAAATAAAATATATTTGTGCGGGGCATAGTAAACAAAAGCAGGCCTACGTATTATCAATGCGAATTGGTTCTTCTTAAAAGTTCACTCTAAAGAACCGATTCAGTGATTCATTTGCGTCAGACAGAAGCACCTTCTGGTTTACTCTCATTAAAGGCTACAATAAATCCACATATGACTTTTTATTACTATTTTAAATTAATAAAATTGGTTGTTTTTGGGTTTATGCAATTTGTTACACAGTTATGATTCTGGAAAGTCAGCTTGTGTTCAGATAAAGAAAAAAGTGACCTACATCTTAGATGGCCTGAGGGTGAGTCAGCAATTAAATAACACAAACCATCCCTTGCTAAAACAAATCCTGCTTTAATTTTAGTCTGATTCATAAAGTCGTAGTCATATAACCAATCTTGGAAATGATTCCACTAAAAACATTAGTTTCTGAATCACACCCATAACCATAATGAATAGTTTTGAACAGTAAAGTTTTGTAGGTTATTCATGGTTTTGCCGTTTTATTTTCCATTTGCATTGGCACAATCTTACTACAAAATATCATGATTTATGGTTAGTGTGGCAAAAGCATGGTTAATGGTTTTCACTGACTACCCCACATAGCAAAATTTCTCTGGCCCAGCTCTGGCCCACACAATGAGGTTTTGCTTGGCCCACATGCCGCAGTGAATTACGGTACATGACTGGACCAAATCTGGCTTCCAGACAAGGGCCAAACACGGACCATATCTGGGCCAAGTCTCAGCCAAGTTAATAACTCATAACTGGGCCTGAACTGGGCCAGACAGGTTGGTGTGTCACGATTGCAATGAAATTGATAAACCCATGGAGTGATGCGCTTTAGGCACACTATGGGCATGCTTTTTCTCAAAGTGACCTGATTGGTAGAATTTTTTTTCTTTATTTAAAAATGATTTTAGTGTATTTTAAATGTGGGTCAAGACTGGCCAAACTGACATGGCCCACTTATCACATTTTTAAATCTGGGCCAAATACTACATTTTTCATCTGGCCCAAATCTTGTGTGCCGCCTTAAAAACGGTGCCACCTCTGCCAAACCCGGGCCATGTTTGGCCCACATGCTTTATGCCAGTGCCGGATGAATGCCTGCTGTGCCAGCTTTATGCCAAATCTGGGCCAGAATTCTTTGCTACTAGGGACGTTTACATGGACATCAATAATCTGATTTTAATATGATTAATACAATACTCTGATTAAAAGTTGACCATGTAAACAGCGATTTTTGATTAATTTTATCCAATTAAGGTCATAATCGAACTAAACAGAAATCGGATTGAGACGTGGAGTATGGTGGTTTTAGTCGCATTATTGAAATGCAGTACCGTCATGTAAACATCTTAATCAATCTATTACCGTTGTGTAGGATTTTCGCTGCACTTTGTGACAGGATACTCTATACACACACGGCTGTTTGACACTATTCTCTGCACCTACAGAGTCACTAAAGGACTACAGACTTTGGATCATGAAATGCTGATTTTTTTATTTATTTTTTCCCGTAAGGCATGTGGTATCAAATTCCATTAAAACTATATTTTCCAGCAGTTCATACTCGCATCTAATATCTCGTTTGTCACGGCGGGCATGCATGAAATATTCCTGAATGAAAGTAAAAAATGCCAAACTGCAGTTAAAGTTGACAAATTAAAATGAACTCCTGATATGATAAGAAATTTGGAAACATGGATAGCGCGATGACTATGACTTTGATTTATGTGTTATACATTTAAAACAGGATCACGAAAGGAATATTAAAAAAGCAACTCATGTAAACAGTTTAATCATATTATTGTCTTATTCATATTAAGGCAAATCATTTGATTACTGATGTCCATGTAAACGTAGTCACTGTTTAAGCAAAAAATGTCAAATGGTAGCTACAATCAACATTATAACAAATGTGTCTGTGAGATTCCAGCAAACCTTAAAAGTTTTAAATAGGGGATATCAAAAATACTCCTCTCAGCCTTAATAAGACTGAATAAAATGGAAAGGAAAATCAATCGTAATTACGATTTTTTTGTCAGTAATCAAGACTGATTGTTGGTCAGGCTTTCTGCCTATTCGGCAAAGATTAATAGGCCAAGTTCTGGATTCCTAATTATTTTATGTAGAAATACTAGGCCATCAATTAGACTCATTAGCTCCATTGGCCAAAGGCAAGACGCCCGACTGCAGTGTTGCATTGCTTAGGGGTTTGCTATGCAGATACACATATTGACATGGGTAAAAATAATTGCAGTGGGCTAAATGTGATGTCTATTTCCAGAAAAAGCCACCGTGAGTATAAATCTCATCATGGAGTGATGCTTATCTTCATCCATTATACAAATGCAATTTAATTCTGTAATAAAATCCAAACAGTTTTAATTAACTCTGCTGATTAAAACAGAAACCAATATAGTGCATAAGGGCATAACTTGTATGATAAATTCATCTTTGTCCTAATGTCCCTCAGCTTTTTGGCCCGAGCTCATGATGCTTCTTGTACAGTCGGTTAGTTGGAGGGGGTTACATATTTCATGCATGGCTTGTCATCTGCAGTATAAATCATCCACCAGTGCTGGAAAATGCATTATCTCCTGGGGAGATTATGACAAGGCCAATTCATAACTGTGAATTGATTTTCTTAAATGCTGCCTGCAATATGGCAGTGCATTCAGAGCATGTATTACGGTGGTTAGTGTAATCAAGGGTTTATGTTCTTAAAATAGCAATCACAAAATATAATCAGCAAATCAGAAAGACCTCAGTGTATTGAATAAAACCTATTTTGCCAGGTAATCAGTCATGCAGTGTTTGACAAAATGGGTTCACACAATACCACTCTACTGTGTGAATGTGGTGTGCATAATGGGTACATATTTTTGTATAATACATTACTATTAAAGGAGGTTAATAAGGAGGTATATAATCATTCCATTAAATAAAAACTACATTCATAATATATACAACAAGTAACGTTTGAAATAACAGAATATTTCTAATATACTAAAATAACTAAAATTAAGGCAGCACGGTGGCTCAGTGGTTAGCACTGTCGCCTCACAGCAAGAAAGTCACTGGTTTGAGTCCCGACTGAGCCAGTTGGTGTTTCTGCCGACTGAGCCTGTTGGTGTTTCCTCCGGGTGCTTCGGTTTCCCTCACAGTCTAAACACAAGCGCTATAGGTAAATTGAATAAGCTAAATTGTCCGTTGTGTATGAGTGTGTGTGAATGTGAGAGTGTATGGGTGTTTCCTAGTACTGGGTTGCAGCTGGAAGGGCATCTGCTGTGTAAAACAAATGCTAAAATAGTTGGCGGTTCATTCCACTGTGGCGACCCCTAGCTGATAAATAAGGGACTAAGATGAAGGAAAATGAATGAATGAATGAATGAATGAATGAATGAATGAATGAGTATTACTATTAACATAGGGCTTAGTGGCCACATGCGTGAACAGGACATTTAGTCCTTATGTCCTATGTCTTATGTTTTACATTTTGTTACAGACGTACAGTGTCATCCTGCAACTTTTTTGCAGCATATGAAATGTTCCAAACACCATTTTATCTGTCCAAAATGGCCAACAATTTTGTTTTTACTGATAGTCAAAACATGTTTAAAATATGTGTGTATGTGTTATTAATGCTTTAAAAACAGTTAGGAAAAAAACTGCTGTGTTCAAGGCAGAAATAAAGAGTTTTTCATTCTATTAGACAAAGGTGACTTTTTTGTGTTTTATGGAAATTCGGACCACGAGTCCACAAATATGGACATCATTTTTCTCCTAAAGTACACCATATCAAAATATGATACTTGATATGATTCCATTAAATAAAAACTATATTCATAAATGTATGCAAATCTAGAAAAATGTATTACAAAATCCTTCAGTTGAAAACTGATAAATTTTATAACAAAAATATTTTAAAACAAGTAACATTTAAAATT